TATCAAAATGCCTGCCATTTGAAATAAATAAATAAATTTTCTAAAGAATTTCACATCGGAAACTACAGGGAATAGCATTTTACTGATTTAAAGACATCACAATGACAAAAGTTGACACAATATTCCATGCCTATATTCTGCACTTTTCACTTCTAAAATAGTTAATCTTGACAACATTTTTACTGAGGACAAATATTTGACGAAAACACTAAGTGGCCATTTCTCTTATAAAAATGGATATCAAAAAGAAAAAATTAAAAAAAAACAATGACTTCACCGATTAGGCAAATTCGACCGAGGTGACTTGTGGTTTTCTGAGGAGCCCGGTTGAACCACATAGCCCTCATTGGCCAGCCCCTCAACTTCCTCCGGTGATGAATGGTCTAAAATTTAAAGAATATAAATACCCTAATTATAAAATTTAAGTAGAGTGTATTTTACAACATACTATTTTGGCGTTCTTTCACTGGTCGAAGAATTTGAGTGATTCGCGGACGCTTTGAAGCAGCCATATCTGTCATAAAATCAGAATTTTCTATATCAGCACTGGGACGTTTGCTTCCAGTCCTAGATAAAGAAAAACAGATATGAGTAAAAAATTTGCCTAGCAAATTCAAGGGAAATAAAGCCGACGCACTATACCACGGGAAATTGAATTCTTCTATTAGCGAATGAGTGTATGCTAAGAAAAACCAATTAAACAACATCTATTCTATTTTCCAATAGTAGTGTCCCGCAAAAAGGTCTAAAACTACCCTCGAGAAAATGAAAAGAATGGTAGCCATAAAATGTGGTAAGTTACTCAAAATTATTAATTCTCTTGAGAAAAAACATCTTTGCTGATTCGGTCCCAAATACATATCAAAATCGCCCAAAAGTGGGGAGAGGTAAATTAAACGAATTTCTACTATTAAATATCAGAAATCCGTTGGTTACAGGATTAGTCTGACAGCCACACATGAGTCATTTTGTACACCAGTGGATGAATTTATTAGTAAAGCTAATTCCCTTATATGAACCACCTTACTTCACATGAATAATCATGGAGTCGGTTGGTCGTGAATATATTTCTACCAATATATAATGCACTCGGTTTAATTTCTGACTAATTAATAGTATTTAAGCCTTACAGGGTTTTGTGCTTGGTCACTGCAAACATTAAAGAACCCTGATATTAAGCACATCGGCGAATTTCCATTAAATTTGACAGCCTATTTTCGGCTAGTAATAGTTATTAATTGAAAAGTGGATTAAACTCCTAAAAATAAGAGATTTCACTGACTATCTACTGCCTGAATCTATCTCTCACGTACCAAATTAACATCCGACGTTAATTATTTATCAACAGAATTATTCGGCACATTCAAGTTCACAATATCCAGCACTTATTGGCTGATTTTTTAATAATGAAGATCTGTCCTGCCATTCAATACATTTTTCTTACAAAGTTTGAGAAAGGAAGACCTAAATATAGCAAAGTTGAGAAAGCCGCCATTTTTCTTCGAACGGAGGTCAATTGCCTGTATTTCCTCAAGGTGAATAATTGTTTATCCGCAAGGCTAATATCTTCATCATCTCCATATTCAACAATTTAAAGCTCAAAATCTTTAGATCGACCATACTAACTCTGCATAACGCACCCCCATTCGCAAGAACAGTAAGCGTTTTTTTGGCGAAAATTAGCACCGTAGGATTGCAATAGATTTTCACTTAATTACAACATCGTCAACTATAAATGATCACCAAAAGTCAGTCAACTACGACGGTATAAGGAGCCAGGAGACAACGCATGCTAATGAAAGGACGCTCATCGCTACCACTCGATTTAAACTCATAAAGGGACTGATCTCATGAGAGAATTCGCCTTGAGATTCAAAGTTCATAAACAAAATACCTCCACGTGGTGCACCCTGGGCAACGTATACTCATACGGCAAAAAATTCTATTACCTGGCAGTTGACTTCGGACCCCACTGTATGGCATATTCCACCACTTCCACAGTACTACATCACATTTTTTCTAAATTTTCAACCTTCGTCTTTGAAACACTCTTCCCTCTCCCTCCCTCTCCACTTTTTCCCTTCGATGTTCCTTCCCCTCTGTGAAGCCTGAAGTCAACTAAAGGGCTAATGATAACCATCAAAACGCCTGCCATTTGATATAAATAAATAAATACTTCAGAAAATTTATTAAATGATAAAAAAAGACTACAAAAATAGATTCGAATTTATCCTAAGTAAATTTTTATAGCGCCTCTGCTGCTGAAATCATACATGTTCGTGGAATACCTTTGCCATGTCCCGGAAAGAAAAACAATTAATTTCAGTG